ATACTTCATTTAAATGAATTATAAAGAAATTTATATGGAGAAATATTTAGCTGGATCTGACTTGGATTGTTTTCAAGGCAGTTTCAAGCCATCGATTAACACTATAACAATCACAAAACATTACAGTAATTTGCATTTAATGTAACATCCAAGTAATGGTGTAGGAATGACCTTCAGTCCGATGGGTGCGATGCAAACAGGAAAGGCTTTGGAAAAGGACAATCTTGTGCTTTTTTGCATCTCTTCATTTAAAATACCTTTTGTTTCCGTGCTTGTCACTTTTTGACACTTACAAAATGGGTGAACTTTGTGGTTAAAACTCAACAGTAGTTAAATTCCTACCAGAACTGTCATTTGCATCTTTTCCATTGACTGAGAAACCAGGAATCTTTAGTAGAACTCGAGGTCCATTTTGTCTTCTTGGGGTCTGCTGGGTGATGGACACTACAGGCTGGCAGTGCTGCAGCCACCGTGGGGTGGAAGCTCACCTGCTCCTGCAGGGAAATGACTGTTCTGGTGCAGAATGGATCTAAAACTTGGCTTTACCCCGTGGTAATGAAGGTCCTGTTAACATTTGATGGAGCGTAACATTCACTCGGTGCAACACAAATGGTTCTGGAGTTGCAGTTGGCTGCTCTCAGAGTGCAAACCAAAGTACCTTTCACGTGAGGTGCTTGTCTGAGTAAAAGGTTTCAAATGCTACTGCTTTCAGTATTGCTTAGTGCCCCCAACATGTCTGGTGTGCCTTATGCCTTACTTTTAGATGAAGATTTTATGAACTGTTTACAAGATGTTTTACAGCAGGACCAGGTATACTGTATGCAGTGGTCTTCTGCAGTACTTGGGTAAAATTCCATTTCCTTTTTCCAAGTCCCAGTGTCTGTCACACAAACTGACTCATCGTGGTGGTCTCCTTTCCAAGAGTCCAACTCTGAATCCTTTGGAGTGAGATTGTGGAATGCTGCTTTGTTTTCTCTCCCATTGAACCCTTTATTCTGTACCAGATATGAACGTGCATGTTCAGGAAAATTATTGCACTAAATTTTTTGTGTAGGTGTAGTTAAGTGCCAAAATCACGGCAACCTCGAGAGAAGGAATAGAATTCTACGCTCCTTAGTACTGCAGTATGTCCTATGGGCTTTAAGAGTTTAGAAGTTTTGCAAATTAGTAACCTACTACAAGGTAGCTGCATATTCGTAGAGCTTCCTTTGCGTCCCAGCGTGTTTTGTACTTCCAGAAAAGCTTTGCTACGTCCGGATTGATACATTGAGTAACAGACCTGTGGTTTTCCCTGGTCGCTGAATTGACTCTTCAGGTCTGTTGGAGCATCCTTTTTATGGAATCACTGTGCAAGGTCACGTTTCTGTTAGTCTTTGCTGTTGGAGACAGAACTCTGTACCCTCAAACTCCCTGTCGTGGGCATGGGACACTGTCAGCTGTGTTTCCTTTCCTACTCTGAAGTGCCTCGCACACCTCTGACGCTGTAGAAATACCTTTGTAGAAGTTGCATTCATGGTTGGTTTTGTGTGTAGTGCTGCACTAGCCAGCATGGCTGTTCTTGGCTTGCTCCTTTGTGCACAGTCACCATTGCTCTCAGCAGGAATGGTCTCATCTCTGGGAATTTTTTTTCCTTAACTAGAGTCCCACAAATACCTTTTGGTGTCGTGCTAAATTGGTCTCCTAAAAATGCATCGCTTATCCCCAGATCATTGGATCTTAGAAATTGTCTTCAAATGGACAGGAGGCTTTTTGCATCATGTCAAAATGTGGACCTGAGCTGGTTGGAAGTGTCCCAGCTGAACAGGGTGCTCCATGGTGGAATATCCTCTGGAGTGCTGTCCCATGTGTCCTGTTGGTGCAGGAGATCTGCGGTGGGCTTGGTAATGGATCAGAAATGCCTTGTGCATCTGGGGCTGTTGCAAACAGATCAGTTTAACCTTCACAATTCCAAAAGCATATGTTCATTTGGGATCCACCATTGTTTCCAAGAGGAAAGTTATGAACTTAGTCAGATCTCATAGCCAAAAAAAATAAGCAAGTATGTCCTAGGTTTCAATCCCTCTGCCCAAGTGAGGGGAGGGTCTGTTCCTGTCCTTCCGCACCTCCAGCACCACAGTGGGAGTGCAGGTCACTGCAGCACCAACACTCATCTCAGTGGTGACTAAGGAGGGACTCCCCAGCTTCTGGCTTCCCAAATCATTCTCTGGACAGGTGTGTATTAATACATATCAACACCGTAATCTTAATTCCCTCGCTGATCGTGGTCCCAGTTGGTGAATCTTAAGAATGGCTCAATCAGACTAGGCTTGCTCAGCTGTTTGACTTTGCTCTCAGACTTGCAGGTTCCAGGTGATAAGGTGCAACCATTTATAATTCCAAACAAATCTTCAGGACACCAGAGTAAACCAGCCCGAGAGTTTTGTTTTGATTTGAATCTCGTAGCCATAAAGCAGAGCGGGCGGATGGCTCTCCTTGGCTTTCGATGGCAGTATGCAATTTGTATTGTATGTGTCTTTTAATATATATGTATATATATATGACTCAGTCTGTCCAAAGTATATGTTATACTTGTTTTTAGATTATGGTGCAACTGACTATATTGATATATTATTTATTGAGTGCTGAGTCACCATCTTATTGGTGATAAATATTGCATATTATCCAGGAGTGCAATGTATATTCCTTTAGATTGCTGAGGCTTGATTGCTGTGGTAACAAAAAATGCCCTGAAATGTATTTATGAATGGCCCCTACACACAGAGAGTCAGAATTTATGGGAATGATGTAGCACTTGCCTGGGGCAAGTAAAATAAAGCCGTAGGCAGAGAATTATGGAGTTTGCCCAAATGGCAAACTACTGGAAAGAGAAACTACCTTTGTTGTATTTAATGTAATTTTCTGAACAGATCTTTGCTGTCACTGCAGTGTTTGTATTGAGGCAGATCCACAAGGGCCTGAGCAAGTCGAGTTTGAATTACCCATTGGGGAGTAAACAACTTCCAAATTCTTACCTTTCCGACAAATCCTTCGGTCAGGGTTTAAATTTCTCCATCTGACGTGTCAGTGTTACGGAAAACCCCGTGTTTCCAATCAACAAAGTTAGTGCCAGACATCTTAAAGTACAGAGAGGAGCCAGAGCTTTTGCTCGCCAACTCACACAGAGCCAGAGCTATTCCAGGAGAGGGTTTCCCAAGTAGGAAAGTTGTCACTGGGGAATCGTGGTGTGTCCAGCTCCGATGCTGTTTGAGGACTCGGTCTGTGGTGCCATTTGGGAGGGGAAGGCAGGGAAGGAAGGGGCACCTGTGCCATCAGGAATTGCTCTCAGGGGGAGTGTGGCAGAGCTGGGTTCCCCTTGGACCCTCCAGAGCCGCTGGCTCAGCCGAGTGTCCCTCAGTCCACTGTCTGAGCAATTCCAGCTGCTGTGCTGCAGCATGGAGTGAGCTGGGCTGTCTGTATGTCCATGCTTCACCTGTTTTATTTCACCTGGAAACTTCATGGAAATGTGCCCATTCCTGGTGTAACTCCAGCCAATGTAGGAAAATGGCAATGCAGTGTTCCCTGTCTTCAGTTTTATATGCAACCCTCCTGTGGTGGAGCTGGGGGCACAGTGCTGCTGCAGCAGCTCCTTGGGGCTGCCTTGGCATTCCACATCCCAAACTCAACTCTAAGGACCAGGAATGACTCTTCAAGCACAGTTCCTGACATTTGTATCTGGTCCCCCTTTTAAATTGTTTTAAAAAAATTTTGTATATGGAGGATAAAGTGCTTATATATTTATTAAAAATCCTTTATCTTATTTGAAATTATTATTTGGTGAAGAAGGGGTTTTTCTTTTGGGGGAGGGCTGGGGGGGGAGGTAACTTTTAACCTGTCACTTATAAATGAAGCCCTGATTAATCCTACAGAAAGGTACTGTTAGTAACTAATGGGATGTCTCTGTTTTATGCTTTGTACATGACAAGTCCATGTGTTACATTTTGTTTTCTATCAAAAGATTTGGGCATCTGTCTTCAACCAAAACCTGAAAAAAATAAACAAACTGTGATTTTATTTGTTGCAATACATTTGAAATTTCAAAGGGTACTTTGGGGCTCAAAATTAGGATTTCTAAGTCAGTATGTGCATTTCACGTAATAAAGCTGTTAATGGTGAGCAAAGTATTATATACTAACTAGATTTTTTCCACATCTGTATAGTATATTCTATGTATTTTGTGGTATTGAGATTATAGAAAGTTTAGTGTCTGAAACATGCGTTTAATGTGTATTTTTAAACAAATTTATGGCAATTAAAATATTTGGAGAAAAGGGTATCACATTTCAATTTGTAAAGATCTTTTTAACTACTGTGTCATTAAAATGCTTTGTACAATGCAAAACTGTAACTGGAGAAACTAAGTTTAATAAATATCAAATAGATTTTCTGTATTAAACTTCCAATCCCCTGTGCTTGTATCTGTTTTCTGGGTGTTTTCCCTGGAAGTGCATTTTTAGGCAGACTTCTCTCTTTTTCTGATCCTAGTGCTCTGTGTAACAAAAGGAGAGCAGCATCCAGTGTGTTCTTATTTAATCCAAAGTGCTTTGCTTTGTGTTTCAGCCCTCTGAATTAACATCCAGCAGCTCAAAACAGCATTTTGATCAATGTATTTTAAAATAGAAGGTAAGGTCAGTCTAGGACATGTATTTAAGTAAATTTGATTAGAAGTAATTAAGAGTAAATAGTTTTCCTTCCAGTTATCACTGGATATATTTGGGATATTGAAATTGGTATCAGTATTATCAGTTTGGCTCCCTCTTTCTAACAGGCCTTTATCTGAGCACTGATAAGAGTTCATCTGTCAGACTGAGGAGATGGAGCCTGATCTACTTTATGCTCCTGCCAGGTGGAAGGATAAAGGTCCAGCTGGATTTGAGCACCAGCTCTGCACTCACCGTCCACTCTGCTCACAGGATACAAGGAAAACCAAGGTGGTTTGCTGAATATATAATTTAATTCACACCTTCAAATAAATAATATGAACCGTTACAAAAAACCCAAACGAGCAGGAGAGGCAGAGCCCTTTTATTGAGCTTGGCCAGAGGCATCCTGAGGCACAGAGCGCAGCCACGGCAGGAGATGGTCTTGAGCTCTTGAAGTCCTTTTATCAGCACAGGTGACAGAAATATTAAATATGGTTTATATTTGATTGCTTGAATCACTGTCCAGCTCCTGAGCAGTCAATAAATATGTCCCAAGTGTGTGGAGCATCGTCAGCAGTAACAGTGAGGGGTGTTGTCATCTTGAGCTCATGCCGAGGCCGTGGTGAGGAGGCAGCGGTTCTTCCTGGAAAAAAACCATCGTGAGGCACTGAGAGCTGGGGCTGCCACTGAGCTGGGCTCAGACAGGTATCCCAGGTACATCCTCAGCAGTGCTCCCCAGGTGTTCCAGCAGTGGTCCAGCTCAGGTAGCCCTGCACACTGTGTTCACCTCTAACTCTGCTCAGTTTGTCTTGATTCGTTTTCTGTTCTTAGCTTTACATCGTAACTCCAAAATGTGTGTTGCCCAGGGCTATAGGATCAGGTGCAGTGTAGAAATGGTACAGAACTGCAGTCCTGTCCACAGGGTCCTGTTCTGTCTGTACCTTCCTGTAGTTGCTGGTCCAGCTCAGTTCTGGGAATCAGCAGAACTTAATGATTCATTTCAAACACAGCATACAGCCCAACAACCCTGTACTATTTATTTTTTTATCCTATTTATTTATAATTGAATATGAAATAATCTTATTTATAATCATATTTATTAATAATAGGATACATTTATCCATTTCTCCTATTTACATATAGTAGAAAGTGGTTATGTTCTACATTGTTTGTGATTTCTGGTATATATGTACAGCAGGTGCCACACAAAATCACCTTTCAGTCACTAAATAGAAATTTTAACTATTCTATTCATGTATTCAACTATATGTAGTTGGAAAATTTGCTCACATCTAGTGTTCATGAGAACTCAATGGTGTTTGATATTGTAGTTGTCTTTTAAACTATGAGCTCAGTAAGCACCTTAAAGTGGTTAATTTAGGGTAAGATGTAATACATGTTTTTTTACCTTTAATTAATACACGCTTTAAAGTGAACAGCATTGGCTTTAGGAAGGATTAATTTTAAGGTCTGTGGTTACCTAAAAGCTGTCTGGAGTCCTCTGTTCCTTTTTGCAAAGCCAGGTTATTTGGGGTTGCAGTGAAAGGACTAAGACTGGCAGTCAAGGAACTTGGACTCTGCTCTGTTTGCACTGCTTACAAAAGAGTCTGAGTCTGTTGCCCCATCCCTGTTCCTGGTATCTTTTTTTGTGAACTCTGGATCCCGTTTGGGTGAGACTAAGTGTGAACTTCCTTTCCATCACACAGTATTAAGTTACCTGCAGAGCATGGTGATGCACTCGCTGTTGTCCCTGCAGGAGGCTCCGATGGGTCTCAGGGACACTCCTCTCCAGAAGGGCGTCATCCGCCGCTGCCGTGGCACCCGGGTCTGGGGCAGGGATGCACCGTGTGCCTGAAACAGAGCCAGGGTGACTGTCAGCACATGAGGCACCTGCGGGTGGTTGCTCTGATGCTGAAGTCAATTGTCTTAAAATTAAGTGAAGCACTTCAAACGTTTCTGGTTTTCAGAACGTAGCGTACTCTGTTAAAGTATTGCTTCTAGCCCGACCCCAAAGAACTAAGTGCCAAAATTAAAAATGTTTTTTAATCTTGGGAGGAAAGGCAGAATCGCTTGCTAAGTTATGGCTCAGAGTAGCCCAATATTCACTAGGCAGTTACTCTTCATTTTATGACATTGAATCATCTAAAAAAGCTCTACTGTCACCTCTAACTCCAGCCAGCTCCCCATCCAAATCATAGCAGCTTTTGTTAACTACCTGTCCATTTGAATTAGCTCTTTAAATAGTATATTTCTAACTGTTTATTTCAGTAGCTATATTTCAATAGTTGTCTCTCTTTACCTGGCTGAGCAGCAGTGAGCAGAGCAAAAGGACTGCCATCATTTTCCACCAGTGCATCTTCCCAGCGTGAGTTGTCACTTCGACCAGCTGTGGGCGGAGGAGGCAGGAAGAACTCTATGAGAACTTCCCAGGCTTTCAGCTAGATTTTTATAGACTTCATTCTCTTATCGTTACATCAGCTGCCAGTTATTACAGGAACAAAGTTCGGTTTGGAGCAAGAGGGAATTGCTAAGTCTACATCTGCTGAAGTGATCTGGTTCAAGGCCTGTCTCTTGAGCTAATAATTTACTCCCCTTCCACTTGTACTTTGTCTGGTCACCTTACCCATTGTGCCAACTGTTCCTTTTTTTAAAGCCTACCTAATATGTTACCAGAACTCCATAGTCTATTTGCATCCAAAAGGGGGGTTGGCCCAAATTATTATGGTCAAGACTGAAAGCCATAACCTTATTTAACATCTGTGCCACCCACACTGTGTGCTGCTCTGAGTTTGCCAGCCAGGGGCAAGTGTTGTCTTGCCAAGGTTATTTGGAGCAGAGGATTGTGCTTTTGATTCTGCTTCTCACTCTTGGTACAGGAAAGAACCGTAAAAAAATTGCTTAACCTTCCTTTCCAGGCATATGATGCTCAAAAAGCAGGTGTAAAACTTCTCAGATGGGTCTGGGAATGTAGAATGCGCAGTAACTCATAGAGCTCTTCTCTCAGGAGTCCTAAGGTGTGTTAAAGATAATCATCTCCAAGCAGATACTGGAAGAAGCTGCTCAAGGGCTGTCTGGAGCTGAGGTGCTCCATGTGGCAGGACTGCGGTTCCTCACATGAGCTGTCTCTGTCTCTGTTCCTGTCACTCACCATCGGGCTTCCAAACGGTGCCAGCAGCTCCCATGGGTGTGGATGGGCTGTTTGTCATTAAGAGGAATTTCATTTTTTTTCATTGTGGACTGAGATTGCAGCAGCAGAGAAAAGAGTGTTTGAGCAGAGCTGTTACCTCTCATCTCCTCTGTCATCCTCCGTTTACACAATTCTCCCACTTGTTCCAGTGTTTGTGTCTCCTCATCTGTGAGATCTTGTGTATCTTGTTGGATTGGGCTCAGAGCAGCCTGGTCTAGTGGAAGGTGTCCCTGCTCATGGCAGGGGGTGGAACTGGATGAGCTTTAAGGTCCCTTCCAACCCAAACCAGTCTGTGGTTCTGTCTGGCTCCCACATCTGTCCCACGTGCCCCGAATCTGTCAGGTCAAGACATTTGTGACTGCAGGGTGACAAAAAGAATTCCAACTTAATTGTGTCAGTGTGGGGGATTTTTGGAATACATTATGTTTTAAATTACTTCAAGGTGGAAGATATTATATAAAATAGTGAACTATCCTTTAGCTAAATTGTAAATACAGATCTGGATGTCACAGACTCTATTTCTGTGATTGCTTAATATGAAGGCACAAGTGCCAGCGTGGAAGGCAAGTGACTTAGATTAAGATAATGCCATGCTGTCAGATGATTACCCCTTAGCCCAAATTTCACTGGGATTAAATAAAAAACCTCCCCAGTTTTTTATGAATAAATAAATAAATAATAACCTCCCCTTTTTTATTTAAAACCGGTATACTGTCTACAACCAATATTGGATTATCTTTTCCTTTCCTAAGGTGGTTCTTACACTCCTTCCTCTGCCCTGTTTGTCTTGCTTCTCTGGGAGGAGGAAGCAAAATTTTTCATTATTTCTCCTTCCTGGATTTTATGACGAGAAGGAAGTGGGACAGTAAATCATAGCATGTCAAGTAGCTGAATTTAAAAGTTCCTTTTACATTTGGCTGGGAATTTCCCAATTATTTTTCCCATTAAATCCTTCCTTTACATGCATCTGAGTTCTAATTTCTGCTATTTCCACTAGGCACTAGTGTAGAACAGAGAAAGGAGAACAAGACAGCAGCAGTAGCCCTGAGTTCATCCATGGAAGCACAGGATTTGGAATGACAGCAGAGCCCTCTGTAAGTCATCATCTCTCAGCTTTTTTGGCTGGGTAAGGCTGGTACTTTGTGATGATACATCAAAATTGTTGTGTGTCCTTTTGGGTCACTAATAGCATCAACATGTGCCTGTCAGGCAGCAAACTGTGCAAGAAACTGGCGACAAAAGGACAAAACTGAGTCAGTTGTTTCCATGCCCACAAGTCCTGGAGGCTGGTAAGAACCCACAGCAGAGATGTGAGAAAAGAGATGTTGCTCTGTTGCCACTTCTAATAGTTACCAAAGGGAGGACGAAAATAAACCAACAACTGAAAAATTTTTGAGTGCCTTGTTCAGATTCTGAAATGCCCAGGGACAGAACTGCCAATGCCGCGGGTCCAGGGGGAACCATCCCCGCAGGGAACAGGGCCTGTGTCCGAGGGGGAGGTTGGCTGGGAGGGGTCAGAGGATGGCTGGGCAGGGTAGCAACAGGTGGAGGAGCAGCAGGGGCAGAGGCCTGGACTAGAGCTGTGGGCTGACCCCGCAGCTCAGGGCTGACCCTGGCACGGGGCTGAGCCACCCCGGGGCCAGCACGTGGCCGCCGTGCCGGTGCCCCCGTTTACATTTGTCTGGCACCTGGTCCAGACACAGTTCAGCAGGGGCAGGGACCTCGTGAGAGCCCCAGGGAGTGCTGGCCTTCAGCAGAGCTGTGAGACAACACAGCGAAAACCAAGTGTTTACTGAGCAGAACTTCACAGGGGCTGTCACTGAGACCACCCAGCAGCTGCTCCGGGGCTCTCGGAGGCTCAATGGGCAGGACAGAAAGTTCTGAATTAAGTATCTCCTTCCAGTGCTTTAAGGGGTCTTGTAAAAACGAGGGGGAGAGATATTTTACACAGGCAGACACTGACAGGACAAGGGGAAATGGCTTCACATTGACAGAGGGCAGGGTTAGATTGGATGTTAGGAAGAAATGCTTCTCTGTGAGGGTGGTGAGGCCCTGGCACAGGTTGCCCAGAGAAGCTGTGGCTGCCCCATCCCGGGTAGTGTTCAAGACAAGGCTGGATGGGGCTTGGAGCAACCTGGTCTAGTGCAGGGTGTTCCTGCCCATGGCAGGGTGTTGGAATGAGATGAGCTTTAAGGTCCTTTCCAACCCAGGCAATTCTATGATCCTATAAATCTGCCTCTAGACACTTCTGCCAGCTGTCACAGCCAGATGTTGCTCCCTGCTTGCTTAAGCAGCCTAGGAAATACCAGTGAACCAAAATGCAGGTACATTTAAGCACAGAATATTTTTGCCAACGCTTGCAGCACTGGCCAACTGGTTTTCCTGCATTTTATGCCAACCTCACGCTGTGCTCGGAAGATACACAAGAGACTGAGCTTAGTCTCGTGCTTTTTAAGTATATGTTACGAGCCCCAAAATACTCAAGCACTGACCTCTTAAAACTGCTTGCCCCCCAGCTTCCTGAAGTGAGAGCCTGAGCATCTTTGTCTCCCAGCCCTGAGCACGTGGAGAAACTCACAGAGGTAAACGTCACTGCTGCCCTGCAGATAAGATAAACTCCCAGTACAGGTACAGGAATAGCACAGCAGGGAGACCAACGTGTTGCTCTGTGTTGCTCTGTGTAGGGCGGGTGCTTGAGGCAGTCAGCGGAACACTGGAAGGAAAAAATTCCGACAAAGGAACCAGCCAAGTGTTCTGGACTTCAAACAGTGGAGCTTGTTTCTATCCTCAGAGCCACGGGGTGAATTTGTCACCTATTTAAGTGACTTCACTACTTGCAGCTGATTTTTAATCATCTTCAGGCATTTATCAGTTATGTTTCTCCCTGTAGTGCTCAAGAAGGTTCTAATGCAGTCCATTAACAATGATCAGATATCAGAGTGTAGTTAATCACCCAATTAACATTAATATAACTAGGTAATTAGAATCACAGGATCAGAGAACAGCCCAGGTTGGAAGGGACCTTGAAAGATCAGCTAGTCCAGCATTTTGTGGGAAAGGAGCCCATATGAGGTTACCTGGCACCCCAGCCAGTCACCTCCTGAAATCTTTCCCTGGGCCTCCCCCTCATCCTGGGCAGGGTGTTCCAGGGACTGATTGTTCTCACTGGAAAAAATCCCTTTGTTACATGGAGATGAAACCTCTCCTGGTGCAGCTTGTTCCTGTTCCCTCTCATCTTCTGGCCAGGGCTCCAGGGAAGAGAGAGGTCAGGGTCCATCCCCAATCCCGAGCCACTGTCTAGCTCATCCAGCTTTAATCAATGCCAAATCAGGCAATGTTTGTTTTTCACAGATCTCAAGGCTGGAGGAAAAACAGCAGCCAGTGATGGGAAAATAAATAGAACAAGGAACTGTCATTTCAAACCAGCCCTCACTGCACTTTATATTGAGGAATATTTCAAAGAAACGGGAATCACAAAAGCTGGAAGTGCTGTACAATAAAAACATCCGAGCACATGGAACTTAAGCCTGATTATCTGCCTGAACAGAGAGAACCAGACAAGGGATTTGATGCTCCTCACCTTAAACAGCTTAAGACAGAGATTTCACACAAAGTCATGGGGCAAAGTTACAATTTATTAGACAAGACTTATCTCCCTGTTAATCCCTTTTGGCCATGGGAACAAGCACAGCAGGTCCGTAACAGTGCGGGAATGAGCTCCGGGGCCATGTGGTCACTGGTCGTGCTCATAGTCAGCCGGGTTCTTCCTCTTCAGCCGCTCAAACTCCTCCGTCCCCCAGGAATAAATGAGGTATCCGACTGCAAAGGCTGGGAGGGAGAGAGGGCAGGCACAGTCAGAGGACATGGGAATGAGGGGACACTGCTACAGTGGGGCAATGACAATAAAGGGACACTGGAATAAGAAAACACTTTCAATATAGGGACACTGCAATGAGAGGACACTGAAATAAGGGGACACCAAAAGGAGGGGTCAGTGCAATAACAGGACACTGCAGTATTGGGGAGACTGCAATGAGGGGACACAGGAATGAGAGGACACTGCAATAGGGGGACATTCACAACAAGGGGACATTCGATGCAACGAGGGGACACTTCTGTAACGGGACACTGCTATATGGGAGCATTGGAATAAAGGGATATTCACCATATAGGGACATTGCAGTAAGGGGACACTGCACTGCGCACTGCACAGACCTCCTGCGACAAAACACAGCGTCCCACAAACCCGCCATCTTCCCCGCCAGCCCCACATCCCCCCTCCCCACATTTACGCTACCGAGGGGGCACAAAAAGGGGGGGAATCCCCCGCTGTACTCACGGGGCACCACCTTCAACACCTGGGAGGTGAAGCGGCGCATCACGTTGGGGACGCCATGCGAGAACATGTTGGGGATAGCGCGCTGCTCGAAGGGCGAGAGGCTGTAGGTGATGACATGTCGCACCCGGGCCAGGTTCCCGAAGTGCTTCCCCATGGCCGCAGTGTCACCTCGGTCACCAGGCAATGGCCGCCGCCCGACCCGGAACGGCCTCGGCGCCGCTTCGCCTTCCGGGGCGGGCAGGGGCCATGGCGCTCCCTCAGCGCTGCGCCGCCCCCTGGCGCCGCTGTGGAACCACGGGTTGCGCGCTATATTTGTAATAAATGATATTTGTAATAAAGTATGTTTGTGATAAGAGGTGTTTGCAATGAGTTATGCGTGTAATAAGCGATGCTTGCAATAAATTCTGTGTGTAATGAATGGGTCCTGCCCTGAGGGAGGGGGTCAAACGCGGCACCCGCGCTGTGAGGGGAGTGAGGGAGCGGCGGCGCCTCAGGGCGTGAAAATTCGCCGAAGTACCAAAATTAAGTAAATGTCGGAGAAAAAGCCACTTTTGTGTGGGGGTTGTGGTGGTCTAGTGCTACAGCGAGAGAGTTTGAGGCTTAACATCGTAAAATCATGGAATAGTTTGGGGCAGAAAAGGCTTTTAAAGGTTAAATAGTCCCCCTCCCCACACACACACCCCGCAATGAACATCATAAACACGATTGGAATTATTATTAGAATATATGAGACATATTCTACATCACTGAAATTACTATGAAACTGTATGAGACATCTTCAACACTATTGGAATTATTAATCGAATGTATTAGAATTATTAGACTATATTAGACTTATTTAATATTATTATTAGAATTATTAATAGAATAGATTGGATATCAACCTTACTGAAATTATTACTAGAATATATTAGAATTATAAGAACATATTAGCTTCCACATTAGTGGACTAATTATTAGAATTATTAGAATATATTAAGCATCCTCCAGATAACTGAACTTATTATTAGAATGTATTAGAATTATTAGATTATATTAGATATCTTTAATATTTGAATTACTAATAGATCATATTAGACATCATAGTTATAGATATTATTAGAATTATTAAAATATATTAGACATATTCCATAATATTGAAATTATTATTAGGATATAATACATATATTCAACATTATTAGAGTGATTATTATAACATATTAGGATTATTACAATATATTAGTCATCCTACACATTATTGGAAGAATTATTAGAATATATTAAACATCTTCCACATCACTAAATTTATTATTAGAATATATTAGAATTATTAGTCTATTAGACATATTTAACATTATTTGAACTAATATTAGAATATTTTGAAATGGTTAGAATATATATCACAGAATATGTTAGACATCTTCAACATTATTGGAAGATATTAGATTTATTAGAATATATTATACATGCTTATTATTAGAATACGTTAAACATTTCCACATTAATGGAATTGTTGGAATATATTAGACAGTGGAATTATCAGCATGTGTATCCCTGAAAAC